CTTAGATCAGGTACAAAAGATCAATCTTCGTGCCTCTAACTGCCTGTTTGCTTTGCTTTCTGGTTTCAGAAGAAATGCAGTTTGCTGTGACTCTGTTCTTGCTCCCCTTTCTGTTGGAGACAGTTAATGGTTCATTGTCGTGGTAAAACCGATCTCATTTTGAGGGTCTTGTCCCCTCTGTACACCTTGTGCTAAGTGCTTGTAGGTAGGCTGGTTGCTTGAGCTATTTTAGATAGAAAGATGTTTTTAAAAGTTTCTTCTACCTTTTCTAAAGCATTGGGAGGAAAAAAAGTACAGCAAACTGTATTTTCCTCTTCTTTAAAGATCAGTTCAGCGCTTTTCCCTGCTGCCCCATTCAATTCATGAAAATATTGTCAGTCTGTTTTCTAGTAAATATTTTTCCCTAAATTATGTCGGAGATATGTCAGATGCTGAGTTTAAACAGTTTTCAGTGTCATATCTAGTGCTGGTTTATGCAGTATCTGATCACAGTTCTAGCCAGTGGTCCTGAGCTACTGCTACTGCCTTGAATTATTAAAATACAAAACCTAGAGCTGTTCTCTTATAGCTCTCATTACTTGCATTTCTTTCATTTAGTTTATACAACAGATTAAGTTTCTTTATAACTGTAGTCTTAAGTATAGCATAAAATGCTCCTTTTGGTTCAGAATGCGTGTATTAGCTGTTTCCTGGTAGGTATGTATTTTCATTCAACAAACAAAGGTTCTCAATTTGCGTTGTTACTTGTTTGTTATTTTGCAAACTATTAAAAACTTGCAGATGACTTTGTTGGAAGTTGGTATGATCTCCTTAATCTTCTTTTGTTCTCACTTCTTTGCAATGACCTTAGTCTAGGCTTAGCCCTAAGCCTAGAACGCAAGTATTTTGGCCAGTTGCACTAAGCACCATTAGAACAACAGGAAGGCCTTACTCAACGGGAGGATTATTCATTAGGTGTTCAAAGTCCAGAGTCTTTGAATTGTTCTGTGTCTGCATGTATACTGTGAAACAACATCTCAGCAGCTTTTTGCTCATCAGGTACTATGAGACTGAAGATCACTTAATCTTTACTCTCTGTAGTATTTACCTTGTAACTTAACTTCCTGTGAGACTTAAATCCTTATCAGGCTTTAGTCATGCTCTAGCTTTAGACTCACTGTCAGGTCTCCTATTGCATTACTCCTTTGGAGATCGAGATACCACTTAACTTGTTTGACTTCTTCCTCTCCGAGATGAAGCCTTGCACGTGAGGTTTTTTAAGTCTGTGGATTTTGATTTTGCTTCTTTCTTCATGAAATAACTTTCTTGTCTCAGTTTATAGCTTGTCAGTGGGAGCATCCCTGAATTATTTTTTCACTTCTGTATACTTTTAAAATTGGTCGTTTCTGAGATCAATAATTAAGTATTGATATTCTCTGTTAGAGTCCTCTGTCAATGCCAGCTGCCTGGACTGGATTGCGGAGTCTTTGAGGGAGGGTAGCATGATGATTTTTGCAGAATCACAGAGTAGCTGGGATTGGAAGGGACCTCTGGAGATCAACTCGTCTGACCAGAGCAGGGACAACTACAGGAGGTTGATCAGGACCTTGTCCAGTTAGGTTTTGAATCCATCCAGGGATGGAGGCTCCACAATCTCTCTGTGGTAGAACAGCCTGTTCCAGAGTTTGATTGCTCTTACAATAAAAAAAGGTTTTTTTCTTCTGTTTATAAACTGAATTTCCTGTATTTCAATTCGTTCCCATTGCCTCTTGCCCTTTCCCTGGGCACCATTGAGAAGAGTCTGGCTCAGTCTTCTTTAATCCCTCGCATTCTGTATTTATACACGTTGGTCAGATCCTCCCGAGCCTCTCTTCTCCAGGCTAAACAATTCCAGCACCCTCAACCTCTCATTGTATGCAAGAATCTTTCATCCCTTAATTTTCACAGCCCTTCTCTGGATTTGTTCCAGTAGATCCATGTCTGTCTTGTACTGTGGAGCCCAGAACTGGACACGGCACTCCAGATGTCATTTCACTGCTGAGTAGAGCGGAACGATCTCCTCGCTTGCTTTCAGAGTTAGAGTATGTGATCATAGTGTCTGGATGTGGCCTCTTTGGCTCACAGGATGCTGAAGTATGCTGGGGAAGGTAATTTCTGCATGGGAAATGCAGTAACGCAAATGGACGCAATGTGAATCTGGAGGGACGTTTAAGTAAATGTCAGAAGCCCTTCAGGCACCCCAACCTTTTCATTTTTTTAGTATGTCAAATTGCTTGCTTGTCATAGTTCCCTTTTCTGAGTGTGGTTTGTGAAAGCCATGTTGCTGATTTAGAATTCCTGTTTCAGCTCATCTCTCAACTGTTTTCGTCATTTCCCCAAAACACTGCAAGTCAGGCATTGTTACCAACTGATTTGACTTGCCATACCTACATCCCTAACATGTCACTTGTTAGAGCAATAATTTAAAGTTTTATTTTTGGAAATTTCTGCCCAGGAATGTTAGGATACTATTGTTTTGTTCAGAAATTGAAGACTGACTCAGTTCCCCCCCGCCCCGTCTCTTACTATTCAGGATGTATCACAGCTGCTAAGTTATTTAAAACCTCAATTATTTTTTTTTTTAGTTAATTTATAACTAATCATCCAGGTCCTACGCAGCTTTTGCCATCTCTTAGGCAATCATCAGAAGTGTATGACACAATTCTCATGCTCTCCTCTATCCCTCAGTCACTTTGCCATTCAGCCTATTCCTAGTTCTGCAATGAAATTCCATAAAACGTTGGTGAATGTCTAATCACAGATGATGTTGTGGACTTACCTTATTAGGTTATGTTAAACCATGCAAATTTTGTCATTATGATTCTAAGTCAGTTAAGCCATTCATTTTGTAAACTTACCAATGTAAGCTAACCTGATAACAATTTTAAATTGTTAGTTGTGTGTGCATAGAGTTGCATTGCTTTAATTAAGTAACTAAACACAGACTTAGATAAGTATATGCTGGTAAGGTCTTGTTAATAGGCAAGGCCTTAATTGGAGCTTTTATAATTGTTGTTTACAAAGTCTGTCATTCATCACTGTCAAAGAGTAGTTAAAATTTGCATAGATATCCTCATCAGTACATGTATCTTCCTGAAGTTGTTTTGTTTTTCAGTATATAATACTGCCTATTTTCTGAGGGAGAGAAGGCACAACCTTTTCCAGTCCATAACCAGGCTGATTTTCAAAGATTTTTATGTAGAGAATGATGCAGAGTTTACTCCTGCCTGAGAGAAAATTTAATTTGCCTGTTCTTTCATTTCTTAACTGGAGTTGATGGGTGTTTCATTCCTTGTGCGTGAGACCTCTCTTTGCCAGCAGCATGAACCTTTAATGACAGATTTGTGCTGTTTCAGGAAGTATCCTTGCACTGAAAAAAAAAGAGGTTGTCACCTCTTTGAGCATCAACTGGGTTATATGTTTAGGGAATATCAGCTTTAGAGAGTCTTGGGCGTTTTTGTGGTTTTTTTTTTTCCTCTTGCCACCTTTCCTCTTATTACTCCTGTAACTCTGAAGTAGACTTTTTGCATATACTGTTCCTATGCCTGTGGACCATATTGTCATAGCCAAATACAATGCCTTTAAGGAAAAACAGGGCACCCAACCTCAGGTAAAATAAACACTTTGTTTTGTATATTCAAAGTATTATACAAATCCAAGATAAGTTACTATTTTTTTCTTTTATCTTTTTTTTTTTAAGTTGTTTTACCTTGAAAGTCCTGTCTCTTGGGCCTCCCCAGTAGGTTCATAGCAACAGGGATTTCTGACTCTAGCTTCATACTCATTCCTCCAAATATTTCCTCAAAATATGTACATTTTTAAATCCATTATTTTTTATTTATTTCTACTGGGATTGAGGGGAGGAAAAGGATTTTGTAGATGTTTTAGTTTTTGTTATTTTTGTAGGTGCTGGAGAGAACCTGGAAAACACGATGGCAGCCTTTCACCAGTGAGTACAAATGGAACAAATAATGCCTAAATTAGCAGTGTTCTCATTGTCTTTAGTGAGTAAAGCAGTCAAGAAAGATAGGACTTCCATCAGTTGTTTGGGGTACAGTGTCCTGTTTCTGAAAGTCATCTCTCCTTTGGATGACTTCTGTTGATTGTTAAATGTTACTCCAATTTAAACAAGAAGGAATTAGGATACCACAAACTATGATGTGTAGGAGACTGGCAATTGGAAACAAAACTTCCGAGGCCTGATTCCTTCTGTGCAAGCTAACAAAACATGAAACAATGCAGCTTCCATGTTTAATGGCAATTACTTCATTTATTTATCACTATAAAGCTATTTTTCATAACTAATGCCATACACTGTTTTTTCTAGATACATTGATGTTTCTCAAAAGGTATTTCAGATTGTAGCCTATACCACTATGCTAATTAGCCACAAGGCTGGATTTCAGCAAGTCTCAATCTGCTGACTGCTATTATGGCTGTAAGCAATTCTCTTAGATATTCCATAGTTTCATAGTATTCGGTTCCCTCCTCTATACAGAAAGTTAATAATTTGTCTCCTAGAATTATTGTGACTGAAATCCTAATGTTAACTAACTTTTAATATACCATCTGTAAAGCTATTAAAAATGTTTGTGTTATGTTTTTTCCCTTCATACACATAATTCATTTGCACAATGTGTGAAAGCCTCTGGTCTAGGGGTTTAAAACGGAGTGGTACTGGAAAGCCTTTTAAGCCTCCAGCATTTCAGTAGTGAATTCTAACAAGGTTCTCAAAGGCATTTGAAAAAGCAGCATATCTAAAACTCTAGCTGCCAATGAGCGGTGACCAAATTATGTAGGCTTCTCTTTGTTTTGTTGGGTGTGTTTTTTTTAAAAAAATTTGCTTTGTGCTAGTAGCCTCATCAATTTGCACATTTCCTTGCAGACTGAGGAGTGCCAGCTTTCCCAACCAGTGCTATTGAAAGTACTGCAGCACTTTCTATCTCCATGGAAGCTCAGCATAGTTTTGTGTTTTTTTTCCCTGCTGGCCTGCCTTTTTTTTCAAGTCTGGTACCACACTTTCTGAGAAACGCTTTTTTTTTTTTAAATTTCTTAATTTTCATTTAGTATCATACTGGTTTTACATGTATAGGGCTCTTAAAGAAAGCTATGTCATATCCATTTTTATTTTGTTCCCAGAAGTAGTCTGTAGTACTTAGAATAAGGACTGTGCTAGCAGTCAAACAATGTTTTGTGATAATACAGACATTTGTCTGCCTGTCTGCTGACTCTTTAAATTATTTTACAACTATAGCGTAACAAATGCATTGAGGGCCACTTGAATTCATCACAACTGCCAATAGCAAAGTTCAGTTACTTGTTTTGAAATTGTCTTGGCTGAATAATAAATGCATATTACTTGTTCAGAAAGCAGAGTCAGAGCGATTTCTTTGCATTAGGCAGTAGAAAGCCCTCTGGCTTCCTCCATGGGGGGGTAAAGGCTTTGTCCTTCCCATCCGTTCATTCCCATCTCCACTGGTAAGCTAGCAAAAGGAATTGGGTAGAAAACTGCTGATCTGCATGGTGAAAAATCATCTGGATTGGCTCAGACGGCTGGTATGAACTAATCAATTTATAATCCATCACATTTTGCGTGAAGCCAAATAGGGTGTGTCTGCAAGAGCTGTTTCTGCAGGTTTGGACACGCAGGCATATTTGACCACTGATGTAGTTGAATCCGAAGGAGAATGCTTGTCTGCAACATAAGATCTACCCCCTTGATTTTGCTTTGTTGACAGTAACCTAAGTATTGACAAGCAAATAGTTTTATTTATGCTATTTACACCTTAATAATGATTGGAGAATATTTAGTACTGTTGCATGATAATGAAGAAATTATTCTAGTAATATATAAACAAAGTGTATGGGGGGAAAGACCTTATTAGTAATTTCAAGGTCTCTACTAGCTTAACTTAAAAGTATTCTGGAAAGCTGTAATCATGTTATAGTCTATTTAAATGCTTCTGTGGTGGTTTTAGATTTTAAAATAATTGATTTTAAGCTAAGAGAGACACTTGTAGTGCCTTAACGTGTTTGGGGATCTGGCATAAAAGATGTCATAAGAATTTAATTACGAGTATAATTGTTCCTAATACAGCCATGTACTTCAGCATTGTCTTGACAGGAAGCTGCTAAGTAAACTCTCTAGATACTTTTCTCATTGTATTTAATTTTCTTTTATGAACATACTTGGTTAGAGAGAAAGCTTTAAACACTGTAGCTACAGCAATAAAAACATAGTCAACTTAGTATTTATAAACTCTATATGTTGTGCTACATTTGGCCTTGCCAAATGGAATTTAGTTTCCAAGGTAAGGCTTTTCTTACATATTTCCTGGTATGTCCTTTTACTTGAAAACATTTGGAGCAAAGAGCTCCATCGTCCTAATTTGCAAACGTGCGTCTGCCTCACAACTTGAGTTCTGGAGCAGTTGGATCTGAATCCAACACGTTCTTTGAATCTGGAGAACATCTGGAGTCTTCTCTGGAGCAATGTAGATTTGATTTGTTATTACAGAGCTGCAGAACAAACTGATTTCTGGCTGAAAAAACACAGCACTTTAAGGAAGCTTATTTAGCAGCAATCTCCTAGTAAGAGCCTGGCAAATTCTCAAATTTGTTAACAAGGCAAGTTGTTGTTCTCCTTTTCCATGCAGCATCAGTCTTGAATTTCTTAAAGCAGTAATATTTCTAATAAACTTTGGTTAAATGATAATACATGGTACTAGATGGGAATGTCTTCTACAAATTTGGCAAATCTCCTGCGGCATATTTGGAGATGCTTTTCCTCAGGAGGAAAAATTACGCAGAACAGGCTGTGTATCTTCCATGTGTAATACGATTTTGTTCCTCTCCTAATTCTGAATTACTGGCACTGGAAAACAGTTAAGAAATTGGTTTTAATTTGATGACCCCCTTCTTGATCATTATCCCAGCCGGACCAGAAATTGTGTTCAATACTTACGGGAATATTGTTTTGTTACTGCATTTGTGAGTGTTTATGGCATGTCTGTACTTCAGCAGTCAATAAAGCCCTTTTCTTAAGGAGAATGCAGTTACCAGAGCCGCAGAGCTTTGAGTCCAGTATAGACTGTAGTCACGGATGTTACAGGTTTGTTTGTAGGTGGGTAAAAAGAACAGCCCGATGTTTTGAAGGAAGTGTTCAGACTTCAGGCTGGGACTTTCAGCTGTCTGCTGGAATGATGCCTTCTGAATATCTTTTCTAGTGAAATAAGTGACTCACTTCTCATGGGAGTATAGCTTAGTTTTTCTGTTCTGATGTGAGGTTTCTTGTACTTATTTTTCATCAATATTATTACTACTTTCTTTATTCCTCCTTCTATGATCTAAGCTTCTATAGAGTGGATTTGGGATTGGATTAGAACTTTTCCAAGCAACAGATTGGAATAGGAATAGCTGTTTTTCTTTGAAAAGTATGGCTGGGTGGTTTAGTGGGGTTTTGTTTTTTTTTTTTTTTTAACTTAAAACTTTTTCGTTAAATTATTTTTTTGAATGTAGTTTTGCTAGCCGAAAGCCTGAAAGGCCCCACTGCTAATTTCCTGATCCATCCATTCCTGACTAACTTAAATAAAGCAAAAAAAACCCCAAACTTTCACATCCCTGTCTTTTGTTTTTATGCTTACCACAAAATTGATTACTTCTTTTTAAAAAGAGCTTGCCTCTTCCAGTGGTAAACGCGCTGATACTAATAAACATCAAACTCAATGTTCTGAAACAATACTTTAGAAGTAGATTTCTCAATACTGACGTGGTAGGTGCAATTGGCAGGTGTGCCACTTGATTTCTGTGGAAGACAGAGCCAAAACTCCTGAGTTCAAATCCCATCTCTGATTCATAATATGTTGTTTATTCTTGCATCAGCTTTCCCACTGCAGCGGAGTTATTTACTTCTTGCTTTGCCACAAGATTGTGAGGATCCATTGCATCATAAAGCACCTAAAGTACCTCCACTGGGATTAGTTTAATTGAATAACACGTATGTGTTAGGTTTGGACCTGTACAAAATACATGTGTGATTCAAGGCAGACTTCTTTGCTTCCAGTGCTGTTAATATAGGAACAGACATGTTGGAGCTAGATTGTCACCTGACAAAAGATGAGCAAGTGGTTGTGTCCCATGATGAGAACCTGAAGAGATCAACAGGAGTTGATGTCAACATATCTGACCTCAAATACTCTGTAAGTTGAAAAAAACATTAGCGCTAGATGATGTTTAAAAATGTGTTTGTAGAGTGGCTGATGTGGGCAGTAAGGTTGTGTGCATGTGTTTGTCTACTAGCCAAAATCTAAGGAGGGGGATTCATCTTGTCTTTCTAAAAAAAAAAAAAAAAGTTAACTAGGCTTCCTGTGTAGTCAAGGAAGAAAAACTGGCACGTTTCCAGAGGGTGATTAACTCTGTCCAACAGCAGGTTGGATGAATAGCTTTCTGGAGGTGGGCCTGTTTTGCCATACTGGTGACAAAGGAAGCTTAGTCAACCATCTCCTCCTTGCATGACCAGCTTTTTAATGGGAAAACCAGTAGATGAAGCCCACCTGCACTGGCAATTTTAAAAGCCTGTTTTACAGAACTGTCTTTCTATCTGATATTTAAGTGGAATTCTCAATTTTCAGACAGATGTCTAGAAACATTTTGCCTTACTCTGCTACAGGTAACACAAGTCTAAGAATGCCAAATAGTTCAAGTAAGAATGAACACAGTGCTTCTAAATCACTTTTTGGGCAAGAAGATTTAAAGAATATATTATTTTTTGTCTTTAGAGGTAACTTACATGGCTTATGCATTACAATTTTTGTCTTTTTTGAGAAAAGTCATTCTTATATCCCTGTATTTGAATTAGTGTTATACTTCCCTTTATTTTTAAGGAACTTCCACCATATCTCTGCAAGTTGGATGTCACATTTCAGAAAGGTAAGGTTTTGTTGTCTTCTGTTTTAATTTACAGTACCAATAACTAATTTTCTGTTATTGTAGTGTGGTAATTTCTTATTGGCAAAGGGAGTAGAAAAGTGGATTTGCTTCTGTCAGTGTCTTGATGAGAGAAGTTTTAAAAGGAAAATATAATCCTAGCTTTAGAAACCAAAATATATTTTTTTCATACCAGTTGGCAGTGACTGAGTTTAAGATCTAATATCTTTTTCTAAGTAAATGTTTCAATTGTTTGCTTGTCTGCCTTTTGCAACTGCTTTCCAGTTCCCTTGTGAGATCTTCAGAGGGTGCTGATTGGAAATTTGTTGTTCTGAAAAACAAAGAGAACGCAGAAGAGAGTTTCTTTACAACTCAAATGCTATTGCACTAGTGCACTCTGAGCTTGAAGTACTGCAAGATGTCAGGTAGTATAGACATAGTAGTAACTGTAGGTATGCCTTAAAGTTCAGTACCAATATTGCTGCAAGAGAGGAAAACCTAGAAAAACATTAACCTGTTTTCTTATGAAAACTGTGGTTCATAGAATCATAGAGTGGTTTGGGTTGGAAGGGACCTCAAAGATCATCTGGTTCCAACCCCCCTGCCATGGGCAGGGACACCCTCCACTAGACCAGGTTGCCCAAAGCCTCATCCAACCTGGTCTTAAACGCTTCCAGGGATGGGGCCTCCACAACCTCTCTGGGCAACCTGTGCCAGTGCCTCACCACTCTAACAGTAAAGAATTTCTTTCTAACATCTAATCTAAATCGACCCTCCTTCAGCTTAAGCCCATTACCCCTTGTCCTGTCACCACACTCCCTGATAAACAGTCCCTCCCCATCTTTCCTGTAGGCCCCTTCAGGTACTGGTAAGCCACAATTAGATCTTCCCAGAGCTGCCTTTTCTCCAGGCTGAACAACCCCAACTCTCTCAGCCTGTCCTCACAGGAGAGGTGCTCCATCCCTCTGATCAGCTTTGTGGCCTCCTCTGGACTCGCTCCAACAGCTCTATGTCTCTCCTGTACTGGGGCCCCCAGAGCTGGACGCGGTACTCCAGGTGGGGTCTCATGAGTGGAGTAGAGGAACGGAATCACCTACCTCGACCTGCTGGTCACAAAAAATCCCTTGCTGGTTCATGGACTATAATTCTATAATTTGAATACAGCATATAGGCTAAAATTGAAAGTGCTTCCACCTAGACGAGGCTCCCAGAGGTGATACCGGATGTGTTTGCTTGCTTGAGGGGCTTTGTGACCATCTTGTGTAGACTTTCCGTATTTGAATTGCCTGGCAAGCAAATTTTGTGTTAAATATTTCTGTTCAAAATTGCAAAATACTTAAAATGCACCGAGATGAGATCCATGATGTGTTATTTTCACATGTATGTATCTTTTGTTTATGTACAGTAATACAAAGAGATGGCAAGAGCCTTCTGTTAATTCCCTAGAGCCACAAGCATTTTCAGGCAATAAAATTAGAGTGCTTTGCCTTCTGTTCCCTTTACTCATTATGCTTCTCCAGTAAATTTTCCTAGAAGGAAAAGTTTTTCTCATTTCGTCTTGTTTCATATTAATCTCATAGCATTTGGTATGTGGTAACTGAGCCTGTGTTTGCTATTTCAGGACTTTAATGATGCCTGCACTCCTACTGTTGCTAAATAATGACTGAATTTAATGAAGTTCAAACCTAAATGTGCAATATGCTCAGGGTGTTTTTATTATGGAAGTAAGCTTGTCATAATTAATTAGAACTATCCAAGTGAACTAATTTTTTTTTCCAGTTTAAAAGTGTGCTAATTCTAGGAACTTTTTTTTAAGATAACAAGTGCTCTGACATCTCAGCTTTTATCTGTGGTGTATTAAAAATGGTCACAGCAGTGGCAACTTTCTTCTTTCCCCAGAATGTCACTGTGAGGGAAAAGACAACCGTATTCCACTCTTGAAAGAGGTGTTTGAGGCGTTTCCACAAACTCCTGTCAACATTGACATCAAAGTGAACAACAATGTGTTGATCAAAAAGGTACATGAAAAATCTACGCTGAACTGAGACCGAATGTCACGTAATGATGTTGAAATTCCAAAAGAAAAGTTTCTTGGAGTTGCTAGCGGTCTGTGACACTAAAATCTGTGTTCTTGGACTGCTTCACCTTTCACATACTGGATCTTGCTCCGTGTGTGAGATAATACAGAAGATAGAGAAGTGATCTTGTGCAAGATATTCAACAAACAGCTCTTTACTGACCCTTTATTTTGATGTGAAACTGATGCTACGCCGCTAGGCACGTTTGGCTTGTATTTCATATCAAGGGTCACTTTAGACTGTTGCCTACCAGAGCATCATAAAAACACAATGTCAGTGTAAAGAGAAGTGTTCGTTACAGAAAAGGAAATCTGCTTTCCATCAGCTACTATTTTTCCATCTCGTTTTCTTAAATTCTGTAGGGTTTTTTGTAGGTATAATGGTGTTTCTTTTGACCTGAACACCTGTTTCGTTACAGTCAAACAGCACAATCATCTTTAGATGGGGGAGAGTACAGAAGAACTGTCGTTTCTGTAATTACTTATGTAGTTGAAAAGTAACAAGTAGAGTTTCAGTTAAATAATTCTGCACATAATTTTCAATGAATACATGTTATATTTATATTGCAGGTTTCAGAACTGGTGAGTCAGTATAAGCGAGAGCATTTGACGGTGTGGGGGAATGTCAGTTATGAGGTTGTATCAAAGTGTCTTAAGGAGGTAAGAATGGGTCCAGCTAAGCTTTGTTCTTGCCTGCTTGTTACTGTGTGGTGGCAAAACGTACAGAAAAGCACCCTGTAAAGCCAGATCTAGCCAGCCATACCAGACTTTCAGATGTGATGAGAAACTTTGTGCTTAGATTGTATTCTGGGTACTACGTTGTTACAATAAATCAAGCACAGTTAACACCCATATACTCTGCAATAAAATACTTGAGGAATTAAGCTTAATCATGATTTATTTGTGATCTGTTAAATGTAGGGTGTTATGATTTTTACGCCAGGAACTCGTAGAGCCTGTTTTGCACGTCATTTATCTGGTACAAAAGCAGTTTTTCTAAGGCTTGCTTATTATGTGTTTCTTTTAATGAAAATAATGGATGTGGCCGCTAGTTGACATACAGTTATATTGGTATAGAGCTGTCTTACAGCTATAGATTCTGTTCTTTTCTGTGCTGAGAAATTGTACTATTTAGAATTAAATTAAAATTGTGCTTAGTTCAAGGGAGTTGTGGACCTGAGTGAAATTGATCTTGTTGGGAGTACCAATATTGTTCTGATTTATCTGTGCAGGACAACACCCTGTTCCCTACCTGAACAGCAGTTATATTTGTTCATTTTCATAGAATCAATGCCCAAATATTTTAGTTCATAAACCAGCATCTTTAAAAGTGTGTTGTGAAGTGAGTTGATGTGATACTAAACTGTAGCAAGTCCTGTGCTAAAACACAGCTGCTTCTTTGCAGTAATGCTAGTCGAAGACAAAATGCTGCATAGTGTCATGCAGTCTGGAAAGATAAAGGCAGGTAACAAAAGCAGTACTGCAGCCTTTCCACGTCCCAGTTCCCCTTCAAATTGTGGAAAACCTTTGCTTGGATTACAAACTGTTGGAGAGTAATTTAAATTCAGTGGCAGGCATATCATAAACAGTTGGCAGCCTAATCTTTAGGTGCAAGTGCTAAACTTTAACCGTGTATTGATGAGTACATTTAATTGCAACAGACTCGACAATCTACCAAGATAATTTAGAATCTTTCTTTCCTGGTTCCCACAGAATGCTGACATTCCCATCATCTTCTGTTTGCAACGCGTCCTCCTGCTTCTTGGCCTGTTCTACACTGGTCTGCTGCCATTCATTCCTTTCAAGGAAGAGTTCTTGGAAATTCCCATGCCTTCAATCATTCTCAAGTGAGTTAGAGTCCGTCGGTGGGTGCTGCACTGAGATGGTGGTAAAACAAGTGAATGATAATGCCAGCTTGAGTATTGCTTTAGGCAGTATCCTTGGGCTGAGGATACTGTTTTGTTAGTTTAGGCACTTTTGTATGTTCCTAAGAAAAAGCTCTGCAAATCTTCTGCTCCTCAGTACTTAACCTGTCTCTAGCCAGCTCTGAGTTACTCAGTTGTTAGTGTGATATACACACTGTGTATATCAGTGTTTCCTGTTTACAGCATCTCCTGTAAATACCGTTTTTGTGCAGCTGACTTTACAACACAGCTTGTGCTGATGCCATCTAGATAGTTATTTGTACAGCACTGCTAGCAAGTCTTGCACTTTTCTCCCTCTTTCTTAAGAAAAAAAATAGTCTGAATAAGATTGAGGCAAGTCAGTAATAGGATGGATATGAGATTTCATCTGCTCTTTATTTCTCGTATTTTACTCAAAATGCCGCTGAATACTTATCTCTGCTGCTTCTCTTAAATGTGGCACATTTCTCTTGTGTAACCCAATTCTAAGTCACTGTCTTAGAGAAATTACTGCACTAATTCAAGAAACTGCAAGATCAATCCTTCATGTTCCTTTTGCAGGAACATCTCAAATAATAGTTTAATCCGTGCTCTGGCAATTTTTTGTTTCCTTTTCCTCAACAGGCTGAAAGAACCACAGAAGATTACAAGAAGCCAGAAATTTATTATCTGGCTAGCTGACGTGTAAGATTTTAATCTTATTTAATTTTTGTTTCTATTTTGCCTATATATTAACAGTTGGCTCAAGCAATTAAGACTAGCTATTGCTATAACTACTTGTGGTGGTGTAATTTTTTTCAGTTTCTTCCAGCTTTATTGTCAGTGCAGCATAAATCATATTCAAATCTTACGTAGGTGTTCCTGTACACTTTTATTTTTTTATACACTGAAACATACTGAGGTGCAGTAACAGTGGGCATTATTCCAATTTAGTCTATTTAGTTTCTGTTGTTAAGTGTGTTCAGTTAATTAGCACATGAGTAGATTCAGAATGCAGCTTTCAGGTTTCATGCGATTGTGACTGTTTCATAATGTTGTCAGAGGAGACAGTTTGGCCTGTGTGGAACACTTTGCATTTTAAGAATACCTGTGCTTCAGAGGAAACTCAGTCATTTGCTTTCAGAGGTTGAACATGATTGCACTAAGTGTCTTCTGGCTCTTGCTTCTGGCTCTGACATCTGTTAGTTTGATTTCTTGAGTGGCCAGCAGAGTTTTCATGTCTTCTGGTCTGAAGGATAAAATCCCTTCTGAAAGCAAAGGGATCGATTCATCCGATATGGTGCAGCATACCTGTACGATGATGGAGGAATCTGCTGGATTTGATCTTCAGAAGAGTTGATACAAATATCCATAGCTAATGCAAATTTCTGGGTATCTGTGTTAACCAGTCTTGAGTTGCTTGAACTAAACGTTTTCTATAATTAGATTTCTAATTACTTTCTTGTGGAAAACATTGAATCTAAATGCTCCATGGAAAATTTATTACAGAACATCAACAGACATTGAAATTTTCGTATATGCATCAAGTTCTTAATATATTTCTCCTTTCTGCAGATTGCTAATGCGGAAAGCACTTTTTGACCACCTCACTGCTCGGGGCATTCAGGTACAGTGTGGCAAAGCTAAAGGAAGTGTGCTTTTAACCTAGTGAAAATTTGAACCAGCCAGATACAGCCTTAAGATGGGTCCACGTTCTCCCCAACATGTTCTGTTGTGTTGCTAGGCTTGTACGTTGCTTTTGGTTCCTGAGCTTTAGCTTATGCTGTTATATTTGCAGTTCTGTAGTTGCAAAGGAAGAATTGTATGCTTGGAAAGAGACTCTTTAAATCCCTTTAGGATTTTACACACACACATTTCAAACTTAAGCCTACAAAATCAGCTAAACTGCTTACCTATTTTGGGCTTTTCACAAAATAATATTTTGACTTTTGGAAATATCTGAAGTCTCAGGTAATGAAATGGGGTTGGAGTCACCACTAGAAAATGCCTCTTTTTGGAGGGTGAGGGGGAAGAAGTTGGATGTGTTTGTGTGCGTGTCTTTGGCATCACCGTGTAATCATTTATCATTTTAAACATAGGAGGCATCATCTCTCTCACATAAAACAGTTTAGGTCAAAAGTCACCTTTCTTTTTTTAATTTAAGTATTTCCTGTAATAATTTGTTTTTCTCTTCCCATCTTACAGGTGTATATTTGGGTACTGAATGAAGAACAAGAATACAAGAGGGCATTTGATCTGGGAGCAACTGGAGTGATGACAGACTATCCAACAAAACTTAAGGAGTTTTTACACAATTACCCAGTATAAAGGAAGAAAACCAAGGAAGTTCTTGGAGAATAGATTGTGAGCCAAGGATTTTCTTCATAGAAAAAATAACAATTTGAGCAGCATATACAGATTGTTTTGTTTGAAAGATGTAATTGGATTGTCTATTACCTTGTTGTCAAGTTGTTACCTAATGTAAAGGTTGTCTATTTATTTTAAAACTTTAATTATATAGTTTACATTTGTAAATAGCTCACTTAGCAACGACGCACTTCACAAATAGCGATGACTAGGAAGGAAGTTGCTGGATAGGATACCTGTACCTGTCACAAGTGTTCCTAAGCACATGTCAAGACACGTCAGTTATTCCAGTTACATTCTAGTTGGCAGAAACTAAGGAATTTCTGGAAGTGTACCCTGTGTATGTGCATTTCTTGTGTTGCTTTTAGTTTTCAGATAACTTGTAGGGCAAAAAAGGAAAACAATGCACAGGAGAAATAAAAAGCAGAGTCTGTGGCCAGCCAGCCAGTTTAGCCTGTGAAGTGTAGTCAGTAAAGGCGGTTACTTTTTTACCAGAATTAACTCACTTGATCAGTAGATTTACTCCATTATTCTTACTGATGAGAATGTTGAGCTTGAGTTGCAGCTGTATTTAGACACCTTTCTGATGTGACGGTAATACTGTGACTTATTAATCAAGGTCTAGATACAGCATTTAAGCCAGGTTCTGGGTTTGGCACTGAGTTCCACTGCAAGGGTCTAGGTTTGCCCTGGTTCTGACCTGCCCTGCCATGGTAGTCTGACAGGCAGTAGCTAACTCTCCAGAAAGGAAGATTACACTGATTTTTAGATCACACTTACTTTAAAATAGTCTTTTCACAAAGGAAGCCAATATTTTAGAAGTCTTTTGCACATTTCTAGTTCTAACATCTGTTGGCTTGATGAGTGGGAAGTTGTTTTTAGGGTGAGGGACCAAAGAAGACTAAGTTTGGTCAGGAGTTTCAGGAACAAATGAAAAGGTTCCTATTAAATGAATTCACCCAAAGCAGATGTATATACATACTTCTAAAAGGAGCAAGTGTCAGGCAAGGATATGTGTAAATTTTAGTCTTCTCTCTCCACAAAAGTACATTCAATAGTCATGAAGTTTATGTGCGTGGATGTAGCTTTACTGGCAAAAGCCAGGAAGCCCCAAGTGTGATGGAATGGGGTTAGATAGGAAGGTATTTCTGGAAGCTTATGCGCTGTGCTGTCATTGTGAACAGGTGTTACACGTGTGTCAAACAGATTTGAGCCTGCAATGCCTGCGTGCTTTGGTGTCATCATGTTCGTGGCAGGGGTTTTCAGAAGGAATTTGATTATTGTAGCTTAATTATACACAATGACATGTATAAAGCTCAGTCATCTAATCATCAGATACTGCTGGAACAAATCTATTGCTTAGTGATAGGACCTACTTCTTTAAGGAACTTCGTGTGAAAATCATGGATCTTAATAAGAAATATAGTAGCTAGATGCAGGACTATATTTCCTGCAAGGTATACTCACTGTTATAAAAAATTTTAAAGTAATTTTTGTTCCCTTGGTAGCTCAGATGTGGAAGGGCTCTTGTGTCACTCCCCTGGCTGCTGTGCTATGCTTGTAATCTTGGAGCTTCTTTGCTGTTTCATTATGTCTGGCAGTAGGCTATCAGTGTTAAGAATGTCAAGTTCATCTGGATGGATAATACTCATTTGTGTATTACAATACCTTCCCAAGGAATGTTTCCACATGGATGAAGTGGAAGAGACTACTGCATTTACACTTCAAGTGAACATGTAGTGATAGTGGCAAATGAGGTAATGGTGTCCTTCTAAATATCTACGTGGTTAAGATGACTGGAGATTCAATTTCCTCTTAATTGAATCAGGCTTCTTGGATAGAAAAGAGGAAAAGGTAACTTCCTAACTGTTTATAAGAAAAAGGATGATATTTATTATGTGCTAAGCTGCTGCTTTTCTTTTCAGACCACTTATGTCTGGTCAGATAACTGCTGCTAATCAGTGTAGTCACTGTTCTGCCTCCTTTCTAGTAGTCACAGAATAGGCTCCGTATGCTGCTCAGTAGGTAAATGAAAAACTTTTTTTCTGTCTTTATTTGGTTTACTAGCCAGTGTGTAGCTCAGATAATTTTTTATGCAATGTGGTTTTCTTCAACTCAATTTTACTGCTATTGAATTTCCAACAGGCACACCTGTATTAACATACAAATATAATTCTGGTTTTAGACAATACTACCAAATAGCATTTTCATATTAAAACTTTTAATTTTTTAGACTAGGAAAAGCTAAGTTTTAAAATACCAGTCTTGATTTCTGGACTTCATCTCTCAAGGGACAGGTGATGACTTCCTCTCTCAAGTTTCCCTCGTCACTGCATAAATAAACTACTTTGGTTTATTCTATGCTGAATGACAAAACACAGTTATTGAAATGATGAACGTAATTTTTTAATTTCATTTTTATCTTTGTCCTCTTCCTCTCTAGCAGCTGTGTTGGAAACTTCTGCCTTCAAAGATGCTCAACACACTTTTTTCAACCACTAGGCTTCCCACATCTGATGTGGATTTTGACTGCGCTGTTTATACATGACCTCTCTTTGATAAGTTTGCTACTGAATATCTGAAATTTGCATAAGGAGGGAGGGGTTCAGTGCCAGAAAAGCTGCTGAATTTACTCAATCACCCACTTGGAGTTTAGTACAAGAGCTGAAGTTTGATCTCTTGAAACAGATAATGTTTCATGGATGAGACCACGAATCCAAACACCAATGCACAGGGCTTAGGCCATGATAACTGTTTGTAACAAAATAATATGGAGGTAACTGTAGAATGTTTGTTCTATCAAATCATTGTTTTAATATTCCAGAACTTGCTGTGTGATTTTTAAACCACTTGTACAGAAAAGCATTTGTTGAGAACTTGCACAGCTGTCCAGGAGGATGTTCAGTTAATCTCTCTCCCCAAGGAGAGATTCTTTTCAGGTACTTGTAACTCTAAATATTAACACTTACTGTGTTCTCAATCCTATTGCAAAATATTTTATGTATGAAGGATGATGCATGTATTCCATGCACTTTTAATTTGCAGAAAGTCTTGTGGACCTCTCTAGCTCCAAATCTATGAAGTGATTTTTCTTTTCTTGTAAAGATTGATGCTTTTGAAATGTGACACATTAAAACATCTTTGCTCATAAAATATCTAAAACTAAATACTTATTAATTATGAGTCTTTGCCTAAAAGTATAATTTCTGAGATTATGATATTATAGTGTAGTAAACACTGAGCTTTTGATGGCGGGTTTTTCAATGTAGATGGGATTGCTGAAAAGAAGGTAGTAACTTATTTTAAGACAGAAACAGTAGTAGATAAACCTGATCAGAAGTGGTCTCTGTATGTGATGCTAGAAAACAGTGTAGAGAATTCTGCTGGTTCAGCAATGCAGTATATGCTGTTGTTTCCAAAAAAGGGTCTGTCTGCAGAACAGACATTGCATGCTTCAAAGCAAGCAGCCTGTCTGTGCACCTGAAGATTCAAATAATCGAAACTTAAAGATTGGAGAAGAGTGGGAGGGTGTACAAATTAGGTACTAAACTCTTGAAATTTTACTATTATGTTACTCAGCTTGAAGTACACGGGTCTTGTGTAATATTGGTAGGGGGAGAAACAAGGATGAAGATCCCAAGTGTCTTAGCATGCCAGGAGGGCTGATTCTGTGTATAGGTTTTTGCCGTCAGCATCTTTAAAGAACTGGCAAATTCTGTCTGCTTGTCTAGGATTTTAACACCTTTACCTTAAGAATGGAGTCTGTAGTACTGTATGGATGAAAAAGCAAGGTGAAATGAGCCAAGAAATGCTTCTTATTCTAATAATACTTTGAGAAGTATTACATATGCTAGTGTTTTGAATAGCTATGCTCAAAAGTAATTGTGTAACTGTGAGAGTATTGGCCTTTGCTTTGCACTTCAGTGTAAAAATGGCTGTCTGCATCAGAGCTCCTTTCTCATTACTTATTTTTAGAAACCATGATCCTTAATTCCTAAGCACAGTAATGCATGCTTAAATAAATTTCAGGTTTTTTTTCGTTGGGGGACATGTCTTTTTAAGCATACTCTTTGGTGTTTATCCAATTTAATGATCGATGGCCCGATTCTGGCAGCGTTCTGAGATTGTATATGCACATTTATAATATTACAGGTCAGGTTTTGAAAACACTGACAAAATCATCTTAGGTAGCCTGGTTCTAGACATCAGCTCTGACCTATAATCAGGCTCATCAGTTTAATTACAGAATGTAGCAGTTGACAGATGTGGAGGATACCATATCCTGTCTATGTATGTATATCGTACCTGGATTGAATGGGGGAAATGAATTTTCAGTTATCTGTGCGTGTAAGATATGGTAGCAAGGGGGCTGGCCTGAGACTGAAATGAGAGCTTTCACTGTAAAAGGGCTTGATACGCTTTTTTCACTTGGTTAATAATCAGAGTTTTCTATTTGGACGCTGTGGAAATAGTAAATATCTGATAATTCAGACTTAAGATAAAAAATGACTTTACTGTGACCCATAAATTACCCTGAATATTTTTTTCTGTATCTTAAGGACACTTTTGTTCTAATTATCTCCCACACACAGTGAGTCTTCTACCTGCTCACTTTTGTGGAAGACTTATGCAAAAGATTGTGATCAATGAGTTAGCATAAAAAGCCTTTGACAGTTGACAGGTATCTGCTTCTGGAGTGGGCACAGCAGACTAGCAGTGTTTTGAATATGTTTTAACAGGTATTCCACCTGTGGCAAGTTTCTGTACAGTGTTGTGTTGTCCTGCCTTGGGTGATAGTTTGCTATAAATATGGCACGTTTTTCCTCACGATAAGCAGGTTAACGTTTCCTCTAGTCCTAGAGGTAAATTTCCAGTTTTCCTGCAGGATTTCCATTAAATTACATTAAATACTAGGTTTTAAGGTCAAGTGTAATTTTAAAGCCTTGAGGGTTCATATTAGGTAAGAGAGGTGAAGTGGGGGTTTTTGTATGTAACAG